TGTAAGAATCGTTTAAAATAGTACACGAAGTAATGTCTTTTGAGAAGCTCTTTGAGCAGAAAAAAAAACAAACGGCTTGACAAGTGACTTATCTCGCTCATAACAAAAATTTAACGGTAAATTGTCTGAAGTATATATGTTATGGTCCGGTTCCTTTTACTACGCTGATAGTCCAAGGTAGAACCAGTAAAGAAGAACTCGAAAACAGATATATTACAAACAGGAATATATACAGAGAGGTAGAAGGGGTTAGTACGAACAATCAGGTTTAGTAGTAATTGTCTGAACGCGACTCTGTTTCGGACTGCCTCTGACTCGACTGACTGACTGACTCGCTCTGACTGACTGACTCCTGACGGACTTCACTCCAGACTTCAGACTGAACTCTAGACTTCAGACGGAACAGTATTTAGTCACCGCCCCCTTCGAAAGCATCATGTGGCACAAGGCCGGTTTAACGTGGGATCTCCGAGCCCGTGGGATCAGCCAAAAATATGCCATTTGAACCCGTATAAACGGGTTCAGGGTTGATTTACTTCTCCGAAAGAGACTCCGCCCTTCGGCGTAGCCTTTCCGGGTTCCTCCCCGCCCGAAGGCAGAGGGTTCAACCGATCAACAGATCAGCCGGTCGCCCGACTTCAGACTGAACTCTCTGCTTCCTCTTGAGGCGCAGTATTTATTACGTATGGAATAGTACATTATGTTATTATGGGTAAGGTCCCATAACAATATATTAACAATTAAATTAGTTCCTGACCGCAAATAGTTTACCATTTAGATTGAATAAAAAATGCTACTCATAATTTTTGTTAGTTACATTCCTGGACTGTGTACATACAAAATGTTTTTAATGGGGGAATATAACTTCAATTTTCCGATATTGATTGGGTACGTTAATATGATATTGGGTTTATTTGCTGTCCGTGTAGCCTGACAGTTATCAGCGCAGAAAGCGGAATCGGTGAGACAAGTTCAAATTCTGACAAATGCTGTTAGAAAAAGCATAGAACCATCTCTCTTTCTTACTATTTCCCTATTTTCAGAAACATTCTTTCCCTCTTTCAACAGCGGTCCTGAACTCAACTCAATCCTAGCTGTGATCCACAAAATTTTCATTTATTTCTTTATGCCTATTGGTTAAGTCGGTGACCGCTTTGAAGACCGTATCTCACAGACTTTATTGCTGCTCAAGAAACATGAAACACTTGAGACTGAGAGAAAATCCCGCGCTTCTATGTGGAGTAGATAGTGGATGAAAGGGTTGGTTGGATCCAGTGAGTTAATCCAAAGAGAACAAAGACTGGCAGAGTTGAGTTAAAGGGAGATAACCGATACATCCGAAAGAGGCATGGAACGCAGAACTAGAACAATCTACCCCGGTGGGCGAAATAAAGGGTTCAGTCACCTGAAGATGGCCGGGGGCATACAACGGCCGAAACATCGGGAATACGGCAATAAAGATGAGGACAACAACCAGATCAATGTAAATAATGTTTTTTTTCTTTCTTTTAATTTGATCTCGCTTACCTTTGTAAATTTAAACTCTTTCTTCCTACTTTTACATTTTTCTTTCTTTCTTTCTTTCTTTCTTTCTTTCTTTTAATTTATTCTCCTTGTCTTTCTTTGTACATTAAAACTTTTTCTTTCTACACTTAATCTCTTTCTTTCTTTCTTTCTTTCTTTCTTTCTTGCTTCCTTCCTTTCTTTCTTTCTTTCTTGCTTTAGACTCTTTTTAGCTTTTGCGTTCCATGAGTTCACAAACATCTTTTTCTGCGTCTGCGTCTCTCAATTTCTTTCCATCGCCCAAACCAGTTTCGAAATAAACAAATTAACTGCAAGACGAAGCAGGAGTCTTTCTCACACACTCTTAACCTAATATCTATCCTAGATCTATACATATATGTAAATGTATACATATATGTATATTCTGTACATGTATGTATCCTACTTAGGTGTGTGTCTGCGCGCGAGTGTTAGGGCTTACACGAGAATAAAGTTTTTATAAAATTTGTTCATTAACTGTCTCGGTAACATCCTATCTATCTATCTATCTATCTATCTATCTATCTATCTATCTATCTATCTATCTGAGTCTGTTCATATCTATTTATCTAGCTGACCCTTTGCATATCTATCTATCTATCTATCTATCTATCTATCTATCTATCTATCTATCTAAGTCTGTTCATATCTATTTATCTGAGTCTTTGCATATCTATCTATCTATCTATCTATCTATCTATCTATCTATCCCGTGATCATTTTATGCTACTCTCCATGCACGCAAATAACACAAAAGATACTAGATCCGAAAAGGATAATTAATTTTACAAAAACGGCTTCCTCAATTTTGTTAGAGATCAAACAGCAGACATCTTTATAGGTGTGTCATCTCCCGGGAGGAGTTGGGTAGAGGTTTCTTGGTTGGGACGATACGTCAGTCTCCATTCACAGTACTTTTTATATTCATCCTGAAGCATCCTTAGCATTCATTGTTGATGATTCGTAAATTCAGACCATTTTATGAATATTGTTTTTTTTTTATTCTTAAACCAATGTAATGCGGACAAATAATAATGGCAATAAACAGAAGAGGTTGTATTGTTATCTTGTAAGATGAAACGTTTATTTTTAATTGCAAACAGCTCAGGTATTGGATTCATGAAGCAGAAGAGTTCGATCAGTTCGAATTTATGGGGATTTAACTCTATTACGGCCGAAGCAAACATAATGATTGTACTATTATACTCGTTGATTATTTAGGGTGGCAGAATTAGATTTCTGTGTCTGCTGGGAAGAGTCACAGGGCATCTATCTATCTATCTATCTATCTATCTATCTATCTATCTATCTATCTATCTATCTATCTATCTATCTAATTTCTGTTCATATCTATCTATCTATCTATCTATCTATCTATCTATCTATCTATCACAGTCTATTCATAGATTTTATCTATCTATCTATCTATCTATCTATCTATCTATCTATCTATCTATCTAATTTCTGTTCATATCTATTCATCTATCTATCTATCTATCTATCTATCTATCTATCTATCTATCACAGTCTATTCATAGATTTTATCTATCTATCTATCTATCTATCTATCTATCTATCTATCTATCTATCTATCTATCTATCTAATTTCTGTTCATATCTATCTATCTATCTATCTATCTATCTATCTATCATCTATCTATCACAGTCTATTCATAGATTTTATCTATCTATCAATCAATCTATCTATCTATCACAGTCTATTCATAGATTTTATCTATCTATCTATCTATCTATCTATCTATCTATCTATCTATCTATCTATCTATGATGATATTATATTCGTCAATAACATGATTAGTTTTCATTTTCAATTAGTTTCGTAATCGCCTTTTTGTTTTTCATTTATTATTATCCGTTCAATTCCTTTTTTCATATCTGTCGTTATCGAAAATCAACTAATAAATATGAACTCATAAATTTCTGCTCCTACCATAACAACAAAATAAAATCCGGAATAATCCTCTAATTAAGAGGACTTCGAATTTGTAGCCCTCACTATTTATATGAGGAGGCGAAATACATTGAAGATATTTTCAAATTTCTCAAATCCTCCTTTTCATATTCAATGCAATAACAAAAGGCTCATAGAATATTCCAAAATAGAAAAACGGCCCTCCCTGAAAAACCCGAACGAATCAAAAAAATATATTGTTTTACCCACTAATTCTATCTCAGCTATAATTCAAAAGCATTTATCTAAACTCAACATAAAATGTGTTACAACTCCGTCTAAAACAATAAAAGACTTAATACAAGAGAAAAGACTTAATACAAGCTGAAAATTGAAAGAGGAATTTACTCTAATCCTTTTACTTTTAAACATCATAAAGAATCTTTTTCGCCTTCCATCAGCATTGCTTATACTAAACCTTTTCGGGGTAACAATCTCCGCTGACATGAAGTGAAAAGATTATATGGAATCAGTTGCTAGGAAGATTTATTCACTAGACAATTTTTTTCTCGCCAGAATCTATCTTACAGATTTATAATGTCTACCATTCGTCCATTCATTGAATGTTGCTGTCAAAACTGGTCTGATGTTTCTTTGTATTTCGATATTCTTGATAAAATCTGATGAAGTGTTATAATGGAACACACCTATTCTATAGTTAATAGACTTTCCCACCTATAATAAGTAGGAGTAGTAGCAGTCGCTAAAGTCGCTCAGTGAGTTGGTCAGTCAATCGATGTCGGACGAACGTTAGTCGGATATTAAAGTATCAGCGACCACCACTAGATTTCTCTGCGTCATTACCTATTATATCAAGTTCCTAACGTTTTGTACGTCGAACCTATTTTAGGACCGACTTAGTGAAATACAAGCCTCCACTGTGAAACTACTCTACAACATGAAGAATCAGCAATGCTGTCTGTCCTGACCTGGCATCTCAGCTTTAGTCACTTCCCCACCGTCGTAACGTAGTTTCTCTGTGCTTTTTCTACAAATATCCCCATGGTAATTCTTTTGATAAGCTTTCCTCTTTGATATCTCGACTTTACGAATTTAAGTGCAATACTAGATTGGCAGCTAGGTCTCATCATTTTACCTTTAAAATTACTAGATGTAACCGTACGTTTTATGCTGAAAATTTATTTTCTCGAACTTCTCGCTTGTGGAACTCTTTTCCGGCTTCTTTCTTCCCAGTCAACATTAATCTTCAAAAATTTAAATGCCATTTCAAGCATTATCTTTTGTCTTCTTAATTCTTCTTTTTTTAATTGTTCCCTTTCCTTAATAATGTCTTTCTTTAACTCTTATTCTTTCCCACGCAGTATCTCCTTGCGTCTTAGTGACTTTATTGCCTTACATCAGGAAATAGATGACATAGCATTCTGCTTGGTGATTGTTAATTTCACGCGGGGTCTGAAGATCACATTAAGTCGCCAACCAATGTTGCTTCCTGTGTCCACACTGTCTATATTTAAAACTGCTTATAGCCATATTATGTTGAAACACCGGTTCTAGTACGAACACTGAAGTTAAACAACGTCGATCCTGGTCAATACCTAGATGGGTGACCACTTGAGAATACCAGATACTGTAAGCTTGGATTAGTTCTATTCATTTAGGCGCAAAAAGTCTTGGAAAAGGTATAAATTCACGTCTTCTGCAAACAGGGGTTAATTATTAGAACTTGGATCAATAAATCATTATTATCCCCCCTCCCAAATTTATCCATCATACCCTGTATATATACAGGGTGTATAATAATACTTTTACAAACATTAGGGGCGTGTTCCTCACCCCAAAACAAGGAGAAATGACCATATAAAAATATCCACAAATCCTTCGTTTTTGATTTCTAAAGTTTGAAAAAGTTTACGGTAGATGGCGTTGTGCTGCCAACTTATTAGTAAGATTTGAATCACTAAACCATTATTATCTTCAAAAAAATTCTTACAATCTAAAAAAAATATCTTCTGGCTTTAAATAACCTGCAAAGGGTTGATAAGCCATAGAAAATAAATCAATCAAATACTGATTAGCTACACAGGCATGTCTTTTAGATTTATTTATATTCTCTGAAAAATAAATGTATAGAAGTGACCGTGGCCAGAAAATGAGGGGTCATTTTATATATTGACTGTAAAGTAGAATCGATCCCCCATATTATATCCACATTATAATTTCTTGTTTGTTTATTAAATTCTGATTAGGTATGAATCCACCAATTGTCACCCCTAGCTATGGATTAGTAAGACTTGTATTAGGTTGGTGCAAAAATAAGGTCGTTTTTTGACGTTAAGTTGAACGTCAAAAAACGACATTATTTTTGCATTAACCTAATATCACTAAACCATTATTATCTTCCAAAAAATTCTTTCCATCTAAAAAGAAATATTTTCTAGTTTTCAATAACCTTCACAAGATTCATAAGCCTTAAATAAACAAATCCGACAATCTACAAATGTTGTCTCTCCAATACATAAAATACACAAAAACAATAATTTAAGTAATATACACTACAGTTCAAACGTTTGTAGCCACCCCCAGCATGGGATAAACTTGATACGAGAGTAAAAAACAAAAAGTGAAAAAGAGCTCTTAAAGTCATTGAAAAAAGAATGGAATTAATTATCAAACTTATAGTTTGAGAAAATTTTGCAACGAATGCCAAACATCTGTGCTGCAGTCATCAAGGCTAAAGAAGGATATTTCGACAGGAGCAAAATTTAATCATAAAATGCTTTTTTTCTTTTTGTAAAATAAAATTTCTAATATGGCTCACTTTTTTTTTTTAACCATGTATAATAACTTTCTTTTATTTAAAGTCCGAAACAACTACTTTTTTGGGGGCAATATAAAATAAATTACCATGGGTTGCCTCTAACTTTTGAACTGTAGTATATATATATATATATATATATATATATATATATATATATATATATATATATATATATATGTGTGTGAAAAGTGTATATAAATATAAATAAATATATATATGTATAATTATTTATATATTATATGCGGTAGTACTTATTAGAAAGCGCTCAATATCAGAGATAGAGCTAACATATTCGGTTTGTCTGACGATCGCTAAAGCGTGAAACCCAGGGTCACAAACTCACATCTATCCAACTAAAATATATATATATATATATATATATATATATATATATATATATATATATATATATATATATATATATATATATATATATATATATATATAAAAATTTTTGTGTGTTTGTGTATATATATAACATTGTGTTTGTGTGTGTGTAAATAATGTAAATTAAAACAATATATATATTTATATATATAGATATATTTTGTTTAAGTTTACCATATTTATAATGGAAGAGAGCTCAGTATTGAAGTGACAGCATTTACATTGATCTCTTTTGATCAATCAGAAAGACATATAACATACAAGGGTGACGATCATGTTTGATCATTTTTATGGCTGGGATCAGAGTTGAACTCTACTTAATCATAAGCATGTCATAATTGAAGCACCGCTATCAAAAATGAATACCACATGGAGGTCAGACAGAAAAACTTGCTGAAATGTTAAACTCTTGACGCCAACAGTAATCTTATTCGGATATATATAAGTAATAGAATTTTGGCAAACCATTATAGCAATGAATCAAGTCTAAGAGAAACCTCAGCAAAATGCAGAAAGCACTAGGCGGCCGTTTCGTCCTATTTTTGGGACTCGAATGTAGAGTGATCCACTACCGAGATTCGAACCCAAACCGATTCGATACAACGCAAGCGTCATACCAACTGTACCAACGGGCCTCGGTAACGGGGAAGAAACTGAATAGACTCGATATAGCGCTGCTACTTACAAATTCCGGGATGATACTCATCCAAGTATCCATAACCCAACGAACTGTGCCCCAAGAGCCACGACTTTCCTTTCCCCCAAACCGCTCCATTGCAGAACATTATCTGGGTCAAGCTAGGATATACAAGTAATAAAATTTTAGGAATTTAGGCAAATCATTATAGTAATTCATCGAGTCTAGAGGAACCCTCAGCAGAATGCAGTGGACGGCCGTTTCGTCCTATTTTTGGCTCTTGGGGCACAATCCTTTGGCTTATGAATATGAGTATCACAACAGAATTTGTCAGTGGCAACGCTATATGGAGTCTATTCAGTTTCTTCTTCGCTACCGAGGCCAGGTGGTACAGTTGGTATAACGTTTGCGTTGTATCAAAACGCTTCAGGTTCAGATCTCGGTAGTGGATGTGTTCTGCTGATGAGTCCCAAATATATGACGAAACGTCCGTCCAGTGCCTTCTGCATTCTGTTGTGGGTTCTTCGAGATTCGATGAATTGCTGTAATATATTTTCTGTTTATACGTTATTTTTCATTGATAGAATTTATTTAAGTCAATGCTCTGTTTTTAAATAAACAGTATTAACAGTATTAATTACATTTACTGAGATATCTCACAGAAAATATGCGCTCTTCGAAAGGAATCTTATTTATTTATTTAATCTGTGTCTTATACGGAATCCTCAATTGATCTGACGTGCTATACCATTCAGCTACAGATAAGCGTCTGGTTAGCAAAGTCCAAATTATTGTTTATAAACAACAAATCTTCGATGATCTTTTCTCCAAAGGTCATATCTGCTCACGAAACGTACATTAACGTAAACATTGACAACATATTATAAAATGGATTAAGTACGAAAAGTATTTGATTTGTTTTCTGTTTACACATTATTTTTAATAGATACAATTTCTTTAAGTAAATACACTGTTTTTAAATAAACAGAATTAATTACATTTTCGGCCCGAAAGTTGGAGGAAAATGTAATTAATACTGTATTATTAAAAACAGAGCATTTACTTAAAGAAATTGTAGCTATTAAAAATAACGTATGAACAGAAAATATATTAAATAATTGTCGGACTTAATGCATTATATATATATATATATATATATATATAGTTTATGCAAATTTAGGTAATCCGTATGGGTAGACCTGAGGAGGATGATATCCAGAGAGCTCAATGTAAAATTCAGAGCGGATATGTTTGAATAAAAGACAGACCACGTTAAGATTCCATGTAATAAGCTATTTCACCATAACCCCTTTAACAGCATTCTGGATCATCAGACTTTACTTCCAAAAGCTGAAATGAAAAATGAAAAGAAATTTACACGTTTTTTACGGACCTCATCAAGTATACGCAAAGTTAACGAAGTGAGGAAGTGAGGTGGGAGAGAGGATATGAGTGTGTCATATGTATCATTTTAGTTTCCTATTTTAACCCCAGTGTGTCGGCTGGATGTTGCTCAGATTTAACGCGTCTCGTCTCTAGATAAAGGTGGTTAAGGGGTGAGCGATAAGAACTACATTAAAGGGAGACGTTACAATAACCCCAATATATATATATATATATATATATATATATCCAAGTATAGGATTGGTGCATACAGAATAAATTCCAATAACCAAAAAAATAATATTCTTCACAGAGTGCTCAATACAGAGTAGAGCAAATATAATTTATTCGAAAATAATAACATAAATATGTTATAAAATCACTACAAAACTAACCATTTTGTTTCAACACGTCTGGTGTCTTATCAAGTGAAGGTTTTGAATGTAGAATAAAGGGTTTGGTCGATATGAACCTTTTAAAACTCTTTATTCTACATTCAACACCATCACTTGATAAGACACCAGAAGTGTTGAAACAAAATGGCTATTTTTGTAGTGATTTTATAACATAAATAATAATTTAAGTTATAATTTTCGAATAAATTATATATATATATATACGTATGTATGTATAAATATGTGTGTGTATGTTTTACTTACTTTAAATGATATTTATAGAGGATACCCATTTGTGTAGACGCTCTGTTTATTGTTTAAGCAGTATTTTATTTTCATCAAATTCTATTTGACTTTAAAAACAAACTGTCATGAAAACTACCCTCTTCTAAGAATATCATATAAGGTGACAAGGTAGTTCTTAACTGTCTTGATAACTGTCCCTAACACTTCCATGATACGATATAGTATCAGTTCGATATAGCTTCAGTTCATTTCAGTTTTTGCTGGAGACGAGAAATAAGCAGAAGTCTAAATATGTCTTTTTGGCCTCCAACTATGAACATGCTCTTGATCTAAGCTGTATCATCATTTGCCTTAAATCCTTACTACTATTAATTTTCAAAATAAATCAGAAAATTTCATGGTTATTCTTCAAGACATTATTCTCTTAAATCATTTTTATATATATATATATATATATATATATATATATATATATATATATATATATATATATATATATAAATTCATGAATCATTCATACAAAAAAAACAAATATAGAGGTTAATGATTTAAATGGCGAGAATACTTCGTCGCAAACAATATAAATAAGATACATCAACCCCGAACGTGTATATGAATGATATGATCCCCGTTTATAAACTGTTTATAAACTTATGCAACTGGAATTTATAAACAGGGATCATCATTCATATACAGGTTCGGGGTTGATGTATCTTATTTATATTGTTTGCGACGAAGTATTCTCGCCATTTAAATCATTATCCTCTA